AACCAAAACAATCCAAAACCAACATTTATTTAAATTTTAACTATATAATCTAACTACACATAAAAGAAATTAAAGGAAAGGAAAACAATAGGCACCTTCAAAATCAAAGCTCAGAAGAATGGAAAGAATGTGGGTGGAAATACAATTTTCAAACAAACAGTAAAAAAATGTTACAGTTATGTAAGTTTTTGGAACCGAATAGATGCAATGTAACAAAATTAGTGGGGTTTTTTCACACACTTGTAACCTTGTTTGGCGTTAACAGCTTTGTTATTAAAGTTCATACTGGGTTTCCTAAAACCTTTTTCCAGATATATATGTATCCAGGTTTTCCCTAAATGTCTAGAAACGTTTCGAAGTTTAAATGGTGAAAAACATGACCACGAAAATGACTTTTCTAAAGTGAGGGTAAACAAGTATTATTTTGATTGGCGTGTATGTTATCTTGGAATAAGATCAGTTGCAGCGTTAGCTCATCAACTAAGTCTTTCCTTGCATCTAAAGTAGAATGTTAAGCAAAAAATATAGTGAAATGTATATATTCGTATCCCAGAATATGAGAGGAGCAATAGTCATAAATAGTGTTTTCTAACTTGGTTATCACTTCAAAATGCCTTTCGACTGAAAAATTCTCTTTTTCAACTGAAGCCTCAAATTAAATAGAGTTTCAGTGCCCGTCAGATGGTAAAATGTTATGAAGTGAAAAATTGATCTATTACTCTATGAACGGAGAATGATTTCTGTTCTTAGCAGATCCTAGCGCATTGGTGAACAAAAGAATGTACATTTTCAGGATCAGAGAGTCGGTGTTGCATTGGAATCCACCTAAACAGTCACAGGAAAATGTAGAATGACTTCAACCAAATTATCTAATTGTCGATTCCAAAAATGAGTTTATCACTAAATAGTCCTCACTAGTAAAGAAACATATTTTATAACACAATAAATCTAAACGTACTTTGCTGTTATTGTTAATAAAAACCCCCACACATTTCTCTTGCATCATGTAATATAAAATAAAAAAGGAGTATGAAGTTGTAAAACGTGTTTCACGGTTTGTCATAGCACAGACGATAGAAGAATCGAGGGACACCCAATATTTCACCGAAAACGTTCGTGTAATTTATCAGGGAAATATTTCTCCAGTCTCATCTGATTTCAAAATAAATAAACACAAGGGTACATCAGATGTTTCCATTACGGCACTGAATTCCTGTACTAAAACACATGTGAAAGTTAGAAGTGAAAATAAATTTCATTCAGCTTTTCCGCACAATTGTACTATATGTCATTCAAATATCATTCATCTAATTTTGTCTTACTAGTGAAAGTCGATTTTCTTTAATCCTTTTGGTTTTCAATATATATCCTATATTTCAAAAACATTTTTGGTCAATTAAAATCGTAATTTTCACAAAAATGATGAATACATTCGTTTGCTTCTGGAAACTTGTTTTTGAAAAACCAAAATACTTGCAATAACATTAATGGCGAACACTTAAGTTTTTGAACTACTTGTTCTTGTTATTTCTTCTTTTGTCCTGTCACACTCTTGTACAGCTTTTTCATTTTCATAGCTTGAACGTGATCCGCTATTTATTAACTAAATATTTGGACAGGTTTATATTACTTGTTAAATGTGTTCAACAACATAATATTTTTTATCAGAAAAAAAAAATATATATATATTTATATATTTAAATTTAAATTTGCCCTAAATTGACTCGATTTTTATTTAATATGCTAACAGATAAGAAAAAAATATCTTACACGTGGGACTGAAAATGCAGCACAACACAAAATCAAATTAGTTCGTTTAGGCAAATGATTATTATGTTACTTCTGTATCATAATATTCAAATAACAAAGTAAAGCATCATCAGTAAAATATATTTGTGTTTGATTTGCAAAAAAGGACATTGAATATTTTTTTTTAAATAAAAAAATGCATCGTTTAAAACATATACGTCAATTTAACATATGTTATAAATGTGGTATACGATTAAATAATTATATTAATTATATATACTACATTTAGTTTTTTTTTTTTTTTAAATAATTAATTTACCTAAAAAAATAATGCATAGGTAATTTATCTTTAATTGTAAAGAAATTGGGTAAAAGTATAAATAAATAAAAATAATTTGCTAAAATATACAACGCAAAACATAACATTAACCAAAAAGTAAAGTAAAATTCGGCGTATGTGATATATAAAAAATTATCTCGACCTTTAATATTCAATTGTCAAAATAGCAAAGCACGATCACGTTTAATGACTACTAAAATAATTTAAAGTATAATACAAATGAATAGAATGCTTTGTTCGCATCTGCAAAAACATTAATGGTCAAAAAGTTCCCCTTTACATTAATTTAGCTTAACGATCTTAAAATGATTATTCCTGGGGCTCTTTGCATTCATTATATACGTATTTTCTCGTTTGAGGTTAAAAGATCAGACAATTATATTGAATACAATGTGTATTAACATTTACTTCTTCCCATTCCTTAAAAAAGAAGACTAATATTTGTGTTTATATACAAACGTAGGAATGGAAAAAATGTGGCATAATAAAAAAGTCAATGTCTAATTTAGGTTCAAATTAAAAAAAAAAATAGTGTATATTTAAAGACCCATTTTCAACAGTATTTTGTAAGGTCAAAAAGTTTTCATTGGTTTTTTATTGTTCAATGTTAATAACTAACAATACTTACATTAAAGCAAACAAATGATACCTGAGATTCATTTGATAAATAAATCTTACATTCCAATGCTCTTTTGCAACTTTTTTAATTTGTCAAGTAAGTTGATATATAGATAAACTAAATGATTAGATAAAGAATACCATAATTGTACCTAATTATATAAATAGTACAGCCTTTTTTTCTGTCATCCTAATGAAAGCCTTAGTTAAGAATATTTAAAGATTATTTATCTAATACTTTTTTTAAGTCCACCAGTACTTTTGTCTAATGGTGATACTGGACTCCAATGAAAGCGGAAAATATCCATCGATATAAACTACCAAATTACATTTTATTTTAAACAAAATAATTGATATCAAATGCACATTTGTTATTTTTAAAATTTGAGTACTTTTTGAGATTTGAACATTTTTCTTCCCAATGCTTTTTGATATTTTTTATTTTTTTAAATAATAATTTTATTTAAAACTTGTCTTCATTTCAAGAAGAAATTTGTGCAAAATTATGTGTGGCAATTTAATGTTAAAAAAAGAGGGCATTGATAGATAAATTACGTAAAATTTCTTTATTTTTAGAGTATTTTCTTGAAACAGTAGATAGAAAAGTGTGACGATATTTCATTTAGTTGTTATTAAATACTTTTTTGCAATCTTAAGTGCTTTTCTGTGAAACGGTTTCGATAATCAGTTAATGTAAACATCAATCTATTGATTTCATAATAAATTTTCTTGCATTTCTCCTAAGAGTGCCACTATGTATTTTGTGAACATTAAAAGATGGGAGTTAAAGCACAATCGAAACTTTAATAACAAATTCTTGAGGTTTGATACGAAATATATTGACTGTTTATTTCTGTTTCTTGGATCAATGTGAAGAGCAGTGAAACCAACCAAAGTTGTTTTAGTTCACGTTCACATTATTTAGAATAAAAAGTGATGTAAAGTCAGAGTGACCATTGAGTGATATAATGTAAACAAAAATAAACCCATCAACGTTTTGTTTCATTAAAATACACTACGATTTTTACAATGATTTAAACAATGTATGTATATACATTTCATGATGTACGGTAACGTGCGGTTACGCCTTTGTTTTATTCTCAATGATCCAACAATGTTAAGACATTTGACAACCGCTTTATGAATATATTCTGATGCAATGAAAAATGCAATTTAACATATGATTTTTAATATACATATATTGTGTTATTATTATTAACATTTGCATTATTTTAAATAAAGATGTCATCAATGTGAGTAGTTCGCTATTCTGATGTAATGAAAAGTTGTTACATGTGTAATACAATTTCTCTTTTTAAAAGAACCATTCACTTTATTATCAATAAAAAGTTTAGCAATGTTTAAAGTTTAAATTATTCGTAAAGAAGTTATTTCCTCCATGTTCCATAAGGTATTCGATTGTCTCTTTATGATCATTACGTGTTGCAACGACAAAGAGCAGTCGAAAAGTCTGTTGTTTTTTTAATTAACATTTGCTTGATTTTTAAAAAGAAGTTTAACAATGTCCTTGTGACCGTTTAGTGATGCAATATAAAGAGCAGTCGCACCATCTGTTGCTTTTTCATTAACATTTGCTTGATTTTTAAAAAGAAGTTCAACAATGTCCTTGTGACCGTTTAGTGATGCAATATAAAGAGCAGTCACCCCATCTGTTGCTTTTTCATTAACATTTGCTTGATTTTTAATAAGAAGTTCAACAATGTCCTTGTGACCGTTTTGTGATGCAATATAAAGAGCCGTGCTACCGGTTTCTTTTTTTTCATTAACTTTTGCTTGATTTTTAATAAGAAATTCAACAATGTCCTTGTGACCGTTAAATGAAGCAACATGAAGAGCAGTCGCACCATTTGTTGCTTTTTCATTAACATTTGCTTGATTTTTAAAAAGAAGTTCAACAATGTCCTTGTGACCGTTAAATGAAGCAACATGAAGAGCAGTCCCACCATTTGTTGTTTTTTTATTAACATTTGCTTGATTTTTAATAAGAAGTTCAACAATGTCCTTGTGACCGTTTTGTGATGCAATATAAAGAGCAGTCGCACCATCTGTCTTTTTTTCATTAACATTTGCTTGATTTTTAATAAGAAGTTCAACAATGTCCTTGTGACCGTTATGTGATGCAACATAAAGAGCAGTGTAACCTCCTGTTGTTTTTTCATTAACATCTGCATGATTTTTAATCAGAAGTTCAACAATGTCCTTGTGACATTTTTGTGATGCAATATAAAGAGCAGTCGCACCATCTGTTGCTTTTTCATTAACTTTTGCTTGATTTTTAATAAGAAGTTCAACAATGTCCTTGTGACCGTTATGTGATGCAACATAAAGAGCAGTCGCACCATCTGTTGCTTTTTTATTAACATTTGCTTGATTTTTAATAAGAAGTTCAACAATGTCCTTGTGACCGTTATGTGATGCAACATAAAGAGCAGTGTAACCTCTTGTTGTTTTTACATTAACATTTGCTTGATTTTTAATAAGAAGTTCAACAATGTCCTTGTGACCGTTATGTGATGCAACATAAAGAGCAGTGTAACCTCCTGTTGTTTTTTCATTAACATTTGCTTGATTTTTAATAAGAAATTCAACAATGTCTTTGTGACCGTTTTGTGATGCAATATAAAGAGCCGTACTACCGGTTTTTGTTTTTTCATTAACATTTGCTTGATTTTTAATAAGAAATTTAACAATGTCCTTGTGACCGTTTTGTGATGCAACATAAAGAGCAGTGTAACCTAATGTTGTTTTTTCATTAACATTTGCTTGATTTTTAATCAGAAGTTCAACAATGTCCTTTTGACCTTTTTCTGATGCATCATAAAGAGTAATCCAATCAAAATTTTTAGTTGTTTTGTTTCCTTTTTTCGATTTTTTTTTAAGCGGATTTACCGTAGTGTTTTCTTGACCTGTTTGAAAAATTAATAATTCATCAGTATTTCTATTTGTTAAGCTACTAATTATTTCTTTCAAAAATCTTTTTTAAAAATATTATTTAAAATAATCACCATAAAAAAAAATATTTTAATACTAAATAAAGCTAAATCAATCTACTTACTATTTAAAAAAAACGTATTTGAAACAGATTTAAATAAGTTACTTTTGCAAAATATCAGTAAAATTTATTTGACTAAATGTTACTCTTTTTGATAATATAAATACGAATACGTTTTAAATTATATAGTTTCAATGATGAAATATCAGTTTATGTTACAGTGTTTCACTACATAATTTTCCTTTTTCTTCCCGTTACAATATAAAGTTTAATTTTCGTGATACTAATAAAACTGATTTTGTATGTGATTAGTAATATGAAAATGACAGACCAAAATAAAAATCAAATTAATATTGAGACTTAACTACTTTAACTTATTTAAAGTATAAATGTAAATAACATTGTTTACGTCAGTAATATAATCGATTTAATAGATATTACTTTCATACTATTGAAATAAAACTTTTTATAGGTCATTAATTGGTACATTTTGACTTTTTTTTCGGGGGGGGGTGGGTGGGCGCTATACACTATGACTTATTCTATTTAAAAGAATATACATATTTTTTTCCACATATGAAATTTGAGTTTTTGAAAAAACGATTATTTTGATTTTTTTTTCAATTTATTTGCATGCCCCTGCTACAAGCAGTTATCGTATTGTCGGGAAAAATGTTACTAAACAGAACTTACAATTCAGCAAATTTAACACGAATGAGTATTTGTAAAAAGTATCAAAACAAGGCGATGACACGTGGGAGATGCTGATCTTCTATCGAGCGCCTCCCCAGCCGGCGGATAGGGGAAAGCCCGCCAGATATGGAGGGTACCGGGGAAATAAAATACCCGGGGCGGACCAAAATCAGCCCTACTGCCTTGTAGGAAGTGGAGGGATCCACAAAGGCTAGGGACCTAACCCGAACAAAGGCAGCTACCCATTGAGCTGTGAGGGGCAACCCCCCAAGTGGTTGTGCGCAAGGCCAACAACCCTGCCATGTAAAAAATCATAGTTACAAAAGCACCGAAAAGAGTAACAAAAGACATTTCAGTCCTGGGAGAGGATGGATTCCTTGAGGAGGAAAATATGACGCCTAATAGTGAAAGCCGAAACCTGGAAGCTATTAAGCCGACAACCATCATCTCTACCAGGACTACCACCGTCATTGGCGCTTGGAATGTCCGCACCATGTACGAGGCTGGTAAAGCGGCACAAATAGCCGCTGAGATGAGGAGCTATAAGCTCACCATTCTCGGAATTAGTGAAGCAAGATGGACTGGATGGGGACAGAAGAGATTAATCTCAGGAGAGATGGTGATATTTTCGGGACACGAAGAAGACAATGCCCCACATACCCTGGGTGTTGCTATGATGCTATCAAGGGCAGCACAAGGAGCACTCATTGGATGGGAGGCCCATGGACCTAGAATTCTTTTAGCAACCTTTCGAACAAAGAAACGTAGCATCAACCTAGATGTTATACAATGCTACGCACCAACTAATGAAAGTGATGAAGGAGACAAAGAAGAATTCTACAATAGAGTAATGACCATAGTCCAGGATCGCCCACGGAGGAACATCGTCATCCTCATGGGAGACTTTAATGCCAAGATCGGCAATAGCAACACAGGGTACGAAGAGGTTATGGGACAGCAAGGGATAGGCGAGATGAACGACAATGGTGAGAGGTTTGCGGACCTATGTGCCACAGCTGACCTGGTCATAGGGGGGAGCATTTTCCAGCACAAGAGGATTCACAAAGCTACATGGGTCTCTCCGGACATGAGAACGATGAACCAAATAGACCATGTATGTATTTGTAAAAAATTCAGGCGATCTCTCCAAGACGTACGTGTTAAGAGGGGAGCTGATATTGCCTCAGATCATCATCTTCTTGTGGCCAGGATGAAATTAAAACTAAAGAGACATTATACCGAGCAAACAGCATACAGGACTCGGTATAATACCTCCCTCCTGAAGGACCAAGCCAAAAAGGAAGAATTCAGAATCTCACTATTCAATAAGTTCCAAGTCCTACAAGAAATACTTGAAGATGAAACCACCGAAGGAAAGTGGCAAAGCATGAAAGAAACAGTCCAGTCAACATGTCAAGAAGTGCTAGGAAACAGGAAAAAGGCACACAAAGAATGGATGACAGCAGGTACGCTGAATAAAATAGAAGAAAGGAAAAGAAAGAAATCAGAAGTGAATAACAGCCGCACCCGAGCACAGAAAAACAAGTCCCAGAAGGAGTATGCAGATGCAAATAAGGAAGTTAAGAAAAGCATCAAGAGGGACAAGAAGGAATTTGTTGATAAACTTGCTAAAGAAGCAGAGGATGCAGCTCACCAGGGGAACATGAGGGAACTGTTTGATACCATTAAGACGCTGTCAGGGAAATTTAGCAAGGTAGAGAGACCAGTGAAGGACAAAATGGGAAACACCATACCAAGTGAGGAGCAACAGAGAGGGAGATGGAAGGAGCACTTTGAAGAGCTCCTGAACAGGCCTGAACCAAGAAATCCACCAGATATCCAACCAGCCGATAATGACCTGCTAATTGACTGTAATAGCCCCACCAAAGAAGAGATTAGCAGGGCCATTAAACAACTCAGAAATGGAAAGGCTGCGGGACCTGATGGCATCCCAGCAGAGGCACTGAAGGCGGACCTGGAAACCAGTGTGGAAATGCTACACCCTCTGTTTATGAAGATATGGGAAGAGGAGCAAGTTCCTTCCGATTGGAAAGAGGGATACCTTATCAAGATCCCAAAGAAGGGAGACTTAAGCTCCTGCTCGAACTACAGAGGGATCACCCTGCTGTCCATCCCAGGAAAGGTTTTCAACCGTGTACTACTTAACAGGATGAAAAACGCTGTAGACCCTCTGTTGCGGGACGAACAAGCCGAATTTCGCACCAACAGATCCTGCACGTACCAGATAGCGACACTGCGCATCATTCTAGAGCAGTCACTAGAGTGGAACTCGCCGCTCTATGTCAACTTTGTTGACTATGAAAAAGCCTTCGACAGTGTTGACAGGCAAACCCTGTTAAGATTGCTAAGGCATTACGGGATGCCACAGAAGATTACTGATATAATCAGAAACATGTACGAAGGGATAAACTGCCGAGTTATCTATGGCCAGCAGTTGACAGATGCTTTCCAGGTGAAGACTGGTGTGAGACAAGGTGGCTTGCTGTCACCATTCCTCTTCCTGTTAGCCATTGACTGAGTGATGAAAGCATCTACACAGCAGAAAAGAAATGGCATCCAATGGACCTTGTGGGATCAACTGGATGATTTTGACTTTGCTGATGATCTTGCACTTCTTGCACATACCCAACAACAGATGCAGGAGAAAACAAACATTGTCGCAGCCACTTCTGCTAGCATGGGTCTCAACATTCACAAAGGGAAGAGTAAAATCCTCAAGGTTAATGCCACCAGTACATCACCCATTATGCTTGAAGGAGAAGCCCTTGAGGAGGTGGACAGTTTTGTTTACCTTGGCAGCATGGTAGATAAACAAGAGTAAAACCTGTGCTGCTATATGGAGCCGAGACATGGAGAACAACGGCCGTAAACCTGACCAGAATCCAGTCCTTCATCAACAACTGTCTAAGAAGGATTCTCAGAATTCACTGGCCAGACAAAATCATCAAACAGGAACTGTGGCAGCGGACAAAACTGAAAACCATTGAGGAAGAGATTCTCCAGGAGTGGTGAAGGTGGATTGGTCATACACTAAGAAAACCTGCTTCTAACATAACAAAGCAAGCCCTGAAATGGAACCCACAGGGTAAGCGGAAAAGAGGCCGTCCAAGAAAAACTTGGCGCCGAGAATTGGAGACAGACATCAAGAAAATTGGCCATGAATGGAAGATCCTGGAGAAGCTGGTCCAAAATAAAGATGCCTGGAGGTCTCTCGTAGGTGGCCTATGCCCTTGGAGGAACCGCAGACGCCGACGATGATCGGTGGATGCCCCTCATGGACGAGAAGGCTCAACAAACAATAAAACTGATTTTGTATGTGATTAGTAATAATATCTATCTATCTATCTATCCATCCATCCATCCATCCATCCATCCATCCATCCATCCATCCATCCATCCATCCATCCATCCATCCATCCATCCATCCATCCATCCATCCATCCATCCATCCATCCATCCATCCATCCATCCATCCATCCATCCATCCATCCATCCATCCATCCATCCATCCATCCATCCATCCATCCATCCATCCATCCATCCATCCATCCATCCATCCATCCATCCATCCATCCATCCATCCATCCATCCATCCATCCATCCATCCATCCATCCATCCATCCATCCATCCATCCATCCATCCATCCATCCATCCATCCATCCATCCATCCATCCATCCATCCATCCATCCATCCATCCATCCATCCATCCATCCATCCATCCATCCATCCATCCATCCATCCATCCATCCATCCATCCATCCATCCATCCATCCATCCATCCATCCATCCATCCATCCATCCATCCATCCATCCATCCATCCATCCATCCATCCATCCATCCATCCATCCATCCATCCATCCATCCATCCATCCATCCATCCATCCATCCATCCATCCATCCATCCATCCATCCATCCATCCATCCATCCATCCATCCATCCATCCATCCATCCATCCATCCATCCATCCATCCATCCATCCATCCATCCATCCATCCATCCATCCATCCATCCATCCATCCATCCATCCATCCATCCATCCATCCATCCATCCATCCATCCATCCATCCATCCATCCATCCATCCATCCATCCATCCATCCATCCATCCATCCATCCATCCATCCATCCATCCATCCATCCATCCATCCATCCATCCATCCATCCATCCATCCATCCATCCATCCATCCATCCATCCATCCATCCATCCATCCATCCATCCATCCATCCATCCATCCATCCATCCATCCATCCATCCATCCATCCATCCATCCATCCATCCATCCATCCATCCATCCATCCATCCATCCATCCATCCATCCATCCATCCATCCATCCATCCATCCATCCATCCATCCATCCATCCATCCATCCATCCATCCATCCATCCATCCATCCATCCATCCATCCATCCATCCATCCATCCATCCATCCATCTATCTATCTATCTATCTATGTATGTATGTACGTATGTATGTACGTATGTATGTACGTATGTACGTATGTATCTATGTACCTATCTACCTATCTACCTACTTTTCTATATACCTACCTATCTATCTACCTACCTATCTATCTACCTACCTATCTTTCTACCTATCTATCTTTCTACCTACCTATCTATCTACCTACCTACCTATCTATCTACCTACATATCTATCTTCCTACCTACCTATATTCCTACCTACCTATCTTCCTACCTACCTATCTATCTACCTACCTATCTATCTACCTACCAATCTATCTACCTACCTATCTATCTACCTACCTACCTACCTACCTACCTACCTACCTACCTACCTACCTACCTACCTACCTACCTACCTATCTACCTATCTATCTATCTATCTATCTATCTATCTATCTATCTATCTATCTATCTATCTATATATCTATCTATCTAACTATCTATCTAGTATCTAATAAATTCATTTTTATTTTATTTCATATTCATTGGTAAAATTGTGAAAATGTACTTAAGTATTATTACGTCTTTGATTTTCTTAATTTGTGAAATGAGAATAAAGCATCTTGTTTTGACGAATTTAATATCTTTGGATTTAAAGATATTGTCATCTAAGTAAAATTGTACACACCTTATTTCCTAACTCCCATAATATATATGTACCTTAGACGGTTAATTTTTGGCAATTACTGTTTAAGACGTATTGTATGCTGCATTGGGCAAATTAAACTATAGTATTACTTCCCTCCCCTCCCCACTCCCATAACAGTGTTTCAAAAAATTAATAAAATCATCCACGGGATTTTAACTCTCTTACCTACGATAATACTTTTTTTTTTTTGCATTTCAAATGTTTTGTTCTTATTTGGATGAGTTTTAACGCATTAGTAAATGTTTTTTGAATATGTAGTTTCGCTGCACAGATTGCATTAAACGGCACTTTCGTATAAAGTATATTTAAAGAATACTTTTTTTGCAACTTTATAAATTTCATGAAAGTATATGTTTTTAGAGAATTAAAATTATATCTTATGAAATGTTTAATATACAAAGTTAAGTTGTATTTAATTTTAGAAAATTTTAGGAAATTTAAAAATCAATCTATTATATGCATTACTTTTACTTTTAAGAATGGGAAAATATATTATTAGTTTTGTCAAGCAAAATTATTTTTAAATAACAACAACAACAACAACTTGGAGCTGTGGCTAAAAAGAGGCAATACACTATGACGTCATTTGCGTAATAATTTAGATCAAATTAATGTTATTTTTTATTATTAAAACGCACTAAATTACACACCAGGAATAACAGACAATTTGGGTTTTTCTGATAAATATGGAAATGATGCAATTCTTAGATCATATATTTTGCTTAATACTTTTTTTCATAACTTTTACATTCGGTTAAAATGCTTAACATATTTCCTTGGTTGTTACTTTAAATATAGTTGTAATTTGTTTTAATAATGCTTAAATCTTCCTCAATTGCGTTTGTTGCGTTTTCTTGTGTTTGTCTGAAATAGTTGGTGCACTAAATCTGCGGTGTGAAAGCGGGTGGATCATAAGAGATTGCGCATGCAAATTTATTCAATTTTCGTAAAATAATAGAAAATAACTATGATAGTTTTTAAGAATCTGAACGTATCAAAATATATTTGGCCTTCTCGTTATGTCACTATAGCCAATTCTTATATCATATATATATATATAAATAAATGAACGTTTGTGAATTTGTGGATTTGTGGCTTTTTTATTCAACAAAGGCTTTTTTATGGATTGATGGATGTTGATAAAACTTAGCTCATCAATCCATTATGATCCAGAATAACCTCTTAAGGGTTTATAAACTTTTTATAACATTCCGTTTGGGGCTGGAGACCCCGAATTCTTATTTTTTTTTGTATGAGCTAAATAAATAAAATTAACAACAATTACTCCTACATTAGTAGAAAAAATCTTGATCAAACTTAGTCTACATACACTTTATTATCCATATTAAAATAATGAAGTGTATTGAACTCATAATACCCATTGCTTTGTGTCCGGGGACCCAGTTTCTTCATTTCTAATATAAGCCTTAAAAATATTAATAGGCTTAGTACTTCCACGTGAATAGATGAATCTTGACTAACTTTACAATACATATACTTGATTATCGATATTCAAATACCGAAGGATAATGAACTCATAATATCCATTCTTCTGAGGCCGGGTGCACTATTTCATTTTTCCTTATTTAAGCTATATAAACATCAATAGGCTTATTATTGAACACTGAAAATTCTATGTGAATTGATGGATATAGGGCAACCTTGATGTCCATACGCTTCATCGTTCTAATTGAACTGTCGGTGGATTTAAAACTAAGAATATCCAATCAATGCAGGGGCTATGTATAATTTTCTAGAACGTACGATAATTTAAAAAAGCTACATCTATGGCATTTTTAAACCGATTTTAATAGGACAAAGTTTAAATTTTAACTCTATAATTGTTCCAAATGATTTTTTACCCCCCCCCCTTTTTCCACACATCTCAGACATACCTAAAACGGTATTTTATTAAATGGGCCCCCAAAGGGACGCCAATTTCAATTTTAATTTACTATACTTATAGTAGTACAATTAAGTTGTATAATAATTTGCATTCGAGAAATAATTACGCAGAAAAGTTTTTTTTACCCGATTTTAATGGAAGATTTAATTTTAATCTAGAATATTCCAGAAGGTTCTTTAATGTTCTACGGGAATCGATAATGGGATCTGAAAGCTTATTTGAACAATATAGCACTGAGCATGATTCCAAAGTATAACAGGACCTAATGGGGAATGCGATCCAATAGTAAACTTGATCCCATTGGTTAGGCGATCCCATCGGGATCACATCGGGTAATGCGATCAAACCGGGATCTGGATTCTATCAGGAAAAGGGACAACATTGGAAAAGAGAGTCCCGAGGGACCTTGCTGGGAACGGAATCACACTGGGAAAAGAAATTGTGCCGGGATCAGTGTCAGACCGGGATTTGGATCCACTTGGCATCCCCTTTGGATTGGGGTCTTACCATGATCGGGGTCCTAATGCAATACCGTACATCGCAGTGTATATTGGCTAGTACTATAATAAATTATCCATTGTTAACCGGATAATAATGGTAGGTCTTTTGCAATAATTTTTAACTGCTTCTGCAAATACTCATCTCAATTCATAACTTTTAAAATGTACTAATATTTACGTTTCTAACATCATTAAGTTTTGAGAAGTGTTTACCCGCTTTATATGATACGTGTACCCCCCTGTCAAGCTTCTAAGCTATTTTTCTCCCTCAAAACATAACCTTAACTTACCCAGTCTTAATTATCATTAAATATAACACAATGTCACTAAGTAATTATTTGAGGGACAACCATTACGCTAGAGAAATACTTTAAATTTACCCTTTTCGTTCCCTTGAATTACAACTTTTTTATCACAATTTTTTTAGAAAAACCTTTCCTCTAATTTATATCAAAAACTCTGGATTGGTGAATGCAATTTGGCTTTGGAGTTTCGTTGCGCTGATTGACTTGATTTCAAGGCTAAATTTTTCTTACGTTATCTATGATTATAACAATGAATGTGTGTCTGTATGTATGTATGTATGTATTTCCCGTATGCGCTCCTACACCATTCATGCGATTGTGATAAAACTTTGGTCCGTTGTTTTGCACAAGCCTGCGCATGCTCTGAGTCATTAGACCCCTTTTAACATATTAATTTTTCGGCCGTTGGCCCATAGTTCAGTTTTTACGTGAGCTTTTTAAAAAACAATTTTAGTATGCGCTCCTATATTATTTAGCCGAATGCGATAAAACTTTTGTGCGATTTTGCACGCACGTCTGCGCAAAGATTGTTGAATTATTATATTGTTTTTAAAAGATTGCGTTTTTGAGCTAAAGTCCTTGTTCGTTTTTTCTTACAAGATGTGTCTGAATAAATTCAAACTGTATGCCACCTACACCATTCAAGCAATTGCAATAAGACTGTACTGAGTTGTTGTCCACAAGCATGCTCATTTTTTAGTCATTATAACTCTTTTAAAAAATTATGTTTTGGGCTTTTGGCCCTTTAATTTTTTCTTTCTTTTATGAGCTTTCTAAAAATAATTTCCGTATAAGCTTCTATACCATTTATCAGAATGTGATAAAACTTTAGTGATATTTATGTTGTGCATACGCCCGCAAAGGTTTTTAAATGTTCAACAATTTAGAATTTCATTTTTAAGCCAGGGGCCCTATATTTTTTTTTCTAATATAAGCTATAAAAACACATTTTTTTAAAAATATGCCCTAGTACACCATTCACGCAATTGCAATAAAACTTTAGAGAGTTGTTTTCCACAAAGCTGCGCATTATTACGTGTCATTATGCATAATGGCTGTGTTGCTTAGGATTGAAATGGCTAGAAAGACTTTGCCATTGTATGCTTGTAATTAGTTTTTGTAGTGTTGCGTTTGTTTTAAATGTGGTAAATTATAGATTTGTTTTTTGTTGACTTTGTACCGCGCTTCAAGTCTTTGGGGATAAAAGGTGTTTTTGAAATGAACTTGATTATTATTATTATTATTATACACTTTTTATAATATTTTTTTTATTTGTCCGTTGGACATAAATTCATTTATTTTCTTTCATAAGCTTTGTTAAAAAAAAATTCCGTATGCCCTCCTATAGCATTTATCTGAAAGCGCTAGAACGTTAGTTGGATGTTGTGTGCAAAAGGATTTGAAATTATTTCAAGCATTTAAAAATTTTCCAAATTGAGTCAGTTGCCCTAAATTCGTTTTTTTCCTATGTGAGGTATATAAATATAATTTCAAACAGAGCTAGGCATGGATGGAAAGAACTTAGTTAAAACTTGTCATTTTTAATCAGTTTTGTATTAATTGCATGTATTAAAAAAAGAGTGCTGATTTCTTTAAAATGAATAACTTATCAAATTCGTATTTCGGGCTTATCTGAAGATGTTAATTATTAAACAAATTATTTAAAATTCAATGAGTGCACATTTTTCTTTTTTTCTGATATGAAAAAAGATATAAGCCAATTTAAGAATTTATTTTTTCATTACATATTTATCCATATTTATTTAGTTTTCAAATAAAAGAAATTATGCCACAAAGAATTTAAAATTTAAGAAACTATATATGTAATAAAATGTTTATTTTATAGTTATTTTCCCCATTATTATTTTTTGTCTCACGAAAAATTAGGTAAGGACATTTTCTTGGTTTAACAGTTTTCAAAATGTCAAAATTTATTACACCTTAAAATTTTTTTTTTCAGTTTCTTTCTAAACTATTATCTCTTGCTTTTTAACAAGAAATTTTATACATAAAATTGAACATGTGATATTAATATTTTTTATTTAAAACAATATAAATAAGGTTGTAGAGGTTTTCATTCTTTGTTTAATGAGGGTGATCCTAGCCAATGGTGACATCACTTGAAATGAGAACGATATATATAAGGGGGGGGGGGGGCAAAAAACCAATTGAATCACAGTAAATTAAATTGTATACATATTTTGTATGTATTTTGAAAGGAAAAAAAATTAATTCAAGATGAGGTACTATGTATTTTTTTTTCAAATCAAGATGGGAATCGACAATTTTAACACGTTTTAAACCCGCTATAATACTTTCATTTAGATTTTTAACTTTAAAAAAAATAATTTAAAAAAAAACACTTTTTTAAGTACCTCCTAAATAATCCTCTCTGCTATGTATTGAAGTATTGATTATTACAGGCTTTTATTACACTACAAAGTTGTATCATGGAATGGTGTTCAGAAATATATTGGAATGTTTGAATAAAATAATTTCATTATTTACATAGTTTAGTAAAGTGTTTGGTTCAGGTCCTATATGAACGGAGGGGAATGGCATTCTCCTTTATTTACTTGTCAAAAAAAATAAAAAATTAAACATTTAAAAAAAAATAACGAGAGTTTTTTTTTGTTGCAATCTTGGGTGATTCTCCAAACATTTACTACGATAAAGATGTAGTAACACAATAACAATTTGGCTAGCCCAAGTATCACATATGCTCACTCGCAAAGTCGATGAAATGCTTTCTTATTTTCCAAACATTTATCGAAGTTGCTCTTTGTACCCTGATACCAGAAGTGAGAGGTTGGGATTTAAAAACTATTTAACATTTTATTGTTGGGTTTTTTAAGACAAAATGAAGTATCAGATGAAAGATAATTGAATGGACTGCATGTAAAACTTAATTCTTCAGTTTAACTAAAATAAACTACAACAAATGACATCCGAATAGCAGTGAGTCAAAATGGAGCCAGACACGCAGCACCGTCATTCGCACACAGGTCCAATTAGACTCAAGCTATTCGGATGTCATTTGCGGTAGTTTATTTTAGCTAAACTGAAGAAGTGAGTTTACTAAAACATAGTCCATTCAATTATCTTTTATTTGATACCTCATTGTGTCTTACAACTCAACAATAATATGTTTAATAGGTTTTTAAGCCCAAACTCTCACTTCTGGTATACAAGAAAGAATAGTCGCAGCCAACATTTAACCTACATAATATTGAGATTCTGGGTACCGTACATAAAGTATATCCATGAAAATATTTTCAGACAAAATATATAAGGTGAAATTGAAGTACCGCCGGTTAGGATTGTAAAATTAGATGGCAAGAGATGGGGTATAAATTTAATTTTAAATTATATATTCGTTTAAACACATTAATTTTTTTTAAATTTTGAAAGCATAAATTTTTGGTTATATGTATCAGTAAAATATTAGTAATTCTTATAAACATATTTTATGGAGACATTAAATGTAAAATTAAACAAACTTTTTCAAAACAAATTATAAGATGTAATATCGAGCAATGAAGGGTGTGGCTAAAAATTGGACACAATATACATAAAAGTAACCCATTTTATTAGAATCTAAATTAGTGCTCTGCACCTTCCCCATCAAAACTCGCAACCGCCAACTTTTCATGCCTTTAAAGTATATTAATATTCTTATTACACGCCAACTTTTACACCGCCTAATTATTTCCCCCATAATTTTAGAAAACTAAAACATAATATTAGCAGCAAACGCAATTTAGATATTAAAAAAAGAATCCCATTTAGCACAGTTATTATCAACTTAATATTTCATTTTTTTTTAAAAACAGCAAAAATTGATTTTGTGGATAGGTGTTCAAAGAACACATTTTTACCAATTACAATGTGGCCGGGCAGCTCTAAAGATATGAATCAAATCGGTACAAATAAATTTTAAAAAATTTTCTTTAATTACTTTTCTTTTTTGTTTTTTATTTATTAAAAAGAGTAATTTGTTAATATCAAAATCATTTAATATTTTAAATAATGTTTCCCAAACCTTTTTATGACATCGCAGAAAATAACATTCTCATCTTGTGTCTCCAGAAAATAAGGATCATACACGCTTAATAGGGTGGCCTTTTGTAAAGTAGTTGATATACACAGTTCTCTCCGAATCTAATGAAAATTACTCAATGTTTAAAACCAGGTTTTTTTTTTTTTTTTAAACAGTGAATCCAAACAATGTGCTATATTTATGCGTCTAATGACTTCCCCAATACGATGCGTAGTTTGATTAACTGGTTTACCACGAATTGCTAGCTGGGTCATTTTTTAAGTTATGCAATATCAAGTTTAAGCATGACGCGTTCCTTATTATAAAAAAAAAGTTAGGCTATTGCGCTATTATAATTTCTTGTTAAATTTAGGGTACATGGCAGTTACGTTCCATGATGCAAAGCGAAGTTATAGCGTCTTCTGTCTATTTGATTTCACAGTTAAATTACTAATCTCCGCATCAAGATAAAAAAAACCCACTATTTTAGGCGTTTATTCGGAATAAATGTAATGCGAAATTTAACAAATATACACCTTTATAAAATAAAATAAAATATAGAAATGTGGTGGATCTCAATTTGTTCTAAATAACTTTTTTTTAGGCAGTGTCTATGTGTCCGGCGCGCCGGATGTATATCTTCCGCACTATTTTATTTTCCAGTTAATGCATAATGGCTGTGTTGCTTCGGGTTGAAATTGCTAGAAAGACTTTGCCATTGTATGCTTGTAATTAGTTTTTGTAGTGTTGCGTTTGTTTTAAATGTGGTAAATTATAGATATGTTTTTTGTTGACTTTGTACCGCGCTTCGAGCCTTTGGGGATGAAGCGTGTTTTTGAAATGAACTTTATTATTATTATTATTTGTCCGGTGCCCAAGTCACATGACCGCCGTAACAAAGTGGCGAGAGATATTTTGTCCAGCAGCTTTGTCACGTGACCGCGAATGATTGAAAACTATTGTTAATTTTAAAATCTATTTCTCTACCAAGTAATGTACATCTTGAATGCAAATGATAGAAAAAAACTGAAGTGAAAGTTGCTTGTAAACATTTTTGTTTAGTTTGTTATTTGAGTTTGTGTACCAGCAACCCATAATAAAATTAGGGGCCAGTATTCAGTATGGAGTAGGCAACCAATACAAGAAAAATATTTTTAATTGTAAAGTAAATATTTTAAATTGTTTAAATTGCTAAAAATATTTTAAAACTTCTCATAAAACCACTGATGCTGATGAACATGATAATATAAATATAATGTAAAATATTTTTAATTAAAACGTGTGAAAAATAGGGTTCACAAGTAAAATATCGTCATGCGGCCACACTACCACATGACCACACAAGATCTTCTAACAGATATTTCCTTCGGAATAATTACGCCTACTAGTCATCCGGCGGTCACGTGACATGCTCGTCGGACGTAAATCTCCCACACTATTTGTCCGGCGCGCCGGACGAGTAGAAACTTCGTTTTTTTTTTTATAGCTAGTCAGCACCAAATTGAAAAATACCACTGTTCTACACATTGAGTATGCATTAATTAATGTAAAAATAACATGCTATGTAAGCGTTTATAAAAGTTTAAACCATTGACAAATAAAATAATATATTCGTTTATTTTTATGAAGTGGTTTTTCAAATGACTTTTTAAAAAAAACACATTAAAATTGTAAATACCTGTCAGAAGCTCGCATTCGCCAGCTTGCCTGTTAAATAATAATAATAACATCATGAAGTTAAATGGTAATTTAGTACAAAATTACATAATTACAAACAAATTGCCGAATTTATATTGTGTATTAGTATTAGCTTAAATTCATAAATATTAATATAATTAGACAATGCCAGAAGAAATGGCTTAGATTAAATGGAAATCTGCAAAGTATTGTTAAAAAATAGAAAGAAAATATCGTTAAAAAAAAATTGTGCACAAATTAAATAAAATTTCTATATAAAATGATAGAATAATAAATGCTTTTTCATTAAATGCATTTTTTAAAAAATATATGCTTTAAATGAAACAATAAATGTATAATAGTATACTTTAATTTAAGGAAAAAAAACCTTAAATTATTACTTAATATCCAAAATAATATATAAATATATATAGGCACTATGCATCTATTAAATTTTTAAAAATCAAATTTGTTACCTAATTTTTTGATCATTCGATTCCAAACAACTGAAACAACTAGATTTCCTGTTTTTTGTAATATTACCAGAACAAAGTACGAGAATTAAATGTTACATTTTAGGAAGCATATATTAACGGTAAAAGATATATGAAATTACATGTACTTAATTGAAGGCTTGAATTATATTCTCCCATAATAAATATTATGTCATAAAAGAAATACTTTTATTTTGTAGTAAAACTGGGTTTATATTTAAATAGTTTTAATGATATATATTTGTAAAAAAAAGTAATTTTTTAATAAATAAATATAGATAAGGATTTTAGAATCAACATTTGAAAATATTCCATTATCTCCGATAACTGTTCCGGCCGGCAAATAACAGTGCAGTTGGGTACTAAAAAAAAAAAAAAATGCGGAATGGGTGCACAAATAATATATATATACGTTATTTAGAAACGTTTAAAAAAATTAATCTTACCATTTCTTTCTTCTTTTCCAAAAAATTGCGAATATTATTGCACCGATTAAAATTGCTGCACTAAAAACACTTCCGATAATGATGCCCAATTCGTTGTCTTCTTTAAGTGAGGTTAATAATCCTGAGAACACACACAAGAGATACTTACATTATTTGTATATATAACACTGGAATGTATAACCTGATTTCATCGGGATAGGCAAATTGAGATACTTTTTACACCCTACAGCAAATAATCATCACAATTACTTTTCATTTTTATAATAATACATTTCTATATAATGATGTTACCTTACTAACAAAAAATTTTTTTATGAAGTAGGCCTATATGTCTGTCATATATTTTAAGCCAAACCTACCCCTTTTAGTGGTCATAAAATACATTTTCTTTGTCTAACCACGATCTTAAATTTGCAATATAAATGATCACAAGTATATCATTATTGTAAATTAATAAGTTTATTGACGGCTGATTTCTAGGTTAGATAAATACTTTAGAGGAAAGTTTTTTTGTCTTTTTTTAATTTCTGATTGTTGGGCCTGCGACACCAAACTTCATGACCCTGAACTACATTCTTTTTCCTCTAATGAAAAATATAATCTTAAATATACACCAAAACAAACTCTATATACCATTTACATTCTATTTTATATTATGGAATGGTATATATATTGCCATCTTAAATACAATGTTAAACAAACATTTTGCTTTTTTTTTCTACTGTATTAACCAAAAAAAAAAGACTTTTTTTATTTGCATAGAAAAATATCTTAACTGATATTTTACACCAGTAATCTAACAGCTGGGAACCTTTTTTTTTTTTTTTTAAAGGGAAATGTTTTTAATTTCATAAAAATTTTTAATCTTTTTACCTTTCGCAAAAGAAAAAAAAAATATTTTTTTTTTTAAAAAAGACTTTTTTTATTTGCATAGAAAAATATCTTAACTGATATTTTACACCAGTAATCTAACAGCTGGGAACCTTTTTTTTTTTTTTTTAAAGGGAAATGTTTTTAATCTCATAAAAATATTTAATCTCTTTACCTTTCGCAAAAGAAAAAAAAAATAATTTCATTTTTGGAAAGAAAAACCGTACCCATGTTTTGTTAACGCCCTTAAACTTAATTTTTTGAATTGCTCTAATTTTAAGATTAAATTGTTATTTTTGTAATTGATTTGGTTTCATATTGATGAGCATGATTGTACACGTCATTTCAATACATTCGTCTTTGGTAAACGCTATTGATTTTCTTAATTGTTAAAAATTAGTTTATTTCTAAAATGTGAATGTAACATAACTTTAAATGATAGAAACATAGTATGATTTAAATATATTGCCAACCCCGTTAAAATCAACCTTATTACCTAACCTGCGATATAAATGTATCTAAGAAAGTTAATTATTTATCAATTCATTCCTTTATTCCAAAGCGTATTGTGTGCTCACTTGAGGAAAAATGAAAGTATCCATTCACCAATCCCCAGATTTTAATAAAAAAATAATAAAATCAACCATGGTATGGTAGCTGTCTATCTACGCAACAACAGATTTTTTGCTCGTCCGGAATAAAAATGCATACGTTCCAGATCCCTTATGCTGCATTTTTTTTTTTAATTTTCTAAAAAATGAATATTCCTTTGCATCATTTCGTTTACTGAAATATTATGATGGGTGATAATTAAATTAGAGAATGTTATTGGGCCTAAAGTTTTCTCGTCTATTGAGAGCGTATAAATATATACGTAGATTATAATGGCCTATAAAGAGTTTATTTGTTATGTATATACTTATTTTTAATTAATTATAAAAATGAAAGAAAAATATATTTACAAAATTAAATTTAAAGATTTTAAATAATTTTTTAAAAGTTATTTTCGAGTTTTAGATTCACGTGACATGCTGTTGCGGGGGTCACAATTTTAGGAAAATGTCTGTAAGACGTTTTTTAGACTCGGCAGGCAAAATCTTTAATAATGAATAAAACTGATCTAACATTAAAACTCAATTCTAACAATGTTTTTATACTTCTGGTATTTCATAGAATAACATTTTACAAGTTAATGTGGTTTTTTTATTAAACACAAAGATTAGCTGCTTAAAAAAAAAAAATCGTAATAGTTTATAATCGGAAATAAAAGTACAATTAAAAGACCAAAGAAACAACATAAAAACCCACTATAGTTTTATAGATGAGTGGGTACATTATTACAAATATCGCATGATTCTGTTCCAAAAATAAAGAATGCTCTGGGGTAAACCGAGCAAAATATTATGTTTTAATTTTTTTATACCTAATTATATTAAATGAGTTTGGGAATCATCACCAAATCAGCTTTTTGTAAGCTATTGCTTTGTGAATTATATGAGAATAGCAGCGTCTCATATGGATTATTTTTTCACGTGTAACAATTTAATTTAATATTAGATTATCCTTTTTAATAAAATATTACATTAAATTTAAAAAAAAATCCCTTACCCAATCTTACCACACAGTTGAAATGTTTTATTTTCTGCTCAAGTGTGCAAGCAGCATAGTTAATATGTATATGGATGAATTGCTCGTCGTCTAGAGTAACTTTCGTTTCCACATAATCAGATGCATTAATGTGTCTGGATCCATTTAAAACCATCTCTATCCGACATGGCTTCACTGCACTTATACACGCAAATTGAATATGTAAATCACTTGAAGTAGTGTTTATTCTACAATCATCTGTTGTGTAACTGTGTCCATTTACGGACAAAACACCCTTGACGCCAATTGTTTCTGTGTAGATACAACATATTTAATAGATTATTAATAGCTTAAAAATGAATACCATTTGGTGAAACAAAATAAGAAGACTGCTATTAAAAGGTATTACAAATAGTAAAAATTTAACTTTTTTTAAAGATATTGTTTTTTCTTTGTCAAATGCAATGAAAATAGAAGTAAATAGTTTTTATGTTTCATACAAGTGGCACAGTTTCCGACCCCATAGTTTAATCTCCCCATTACCCTTTAAATTTATTAGGAGCCCTCGAGATCTGTCCCCGAGCAAAATCTCATACAAGCTAAAATTATTTTTTTCAAGATTAGTGACGTGCAGGGCCGTTTGGGGCACACTGTCTAATAAAGCCAGCGTATTACCAAAACACAAATTGTATGGTATAGATTTGTAAGAGATTGGAATAAATGTATATTAATAAAACGAAATGATTTACTGAAGTAAGGTTGTTTTTTAAATTATTATTTTTAAACACAAAGTAACAGCTACTTATTAAGTAATTAAATGTTATCTACCCCTCCTAACAAAGTTCAACTAATGCATGAATTAAATCCTATATTTTGTGCAGAAATGTGTGCAGTAGCAAGAAACAGACAATACAACAAACAAAAGATAACAAGGAAACACAACCTTCGAGTATACATACACACATATAAATATATACATCATATCATATATAAAAGTGAAAGTTTGTGGGTTGGTTTATTTGTTTGTGAGTTTGTTCCACAAAGGATTTTACATGGATTGATTAATCTTGACCAAAATGTGCACATATATCCATCATCTGGAAGCAGCTCTTAATCGGTTATCATTTTTTTATTAGAATCCGTTTGCGGCCAGGGGCCCGAATTTGTTTTTTCCTAAAATGAGCTATATAAATAAAATTAACAACAAATATTCCTACATGAGTCGATGGATCTTGACCAAACTTAATACACATATACTTTATTATCCATTATCAAATACTAAAGTGTACTGAACTCATAATATCCATTTATCTGCGGCCGGGGGCCCCAGTTCCTTTTTCCTAATATAAGCTATATAAATATCAATAGACCTTATACTCTTACATGAATGAATGGATTTTGACCAAACTTATTACATTACACATATACATGATCATCCATATTTAAATACAGAAGGGTACTGAACTCATAATATGCATTTCTCTCGGGCCGGGGCCCCAGCTCATTTTTCCTTCTATAAGCTATATGAATATCAATGGGGTTAGACAACGGTATAGGTTCTATGTGAATTGATGGATATAGGCCAAACTTCATCGTCCTTACTGAAATATCGGTGGATTTAAGATTAAGAATATCCAATCTAGAATTTTCCAGAAAGTTCGATAAATTTAAAAAGCTATGTCTATTACATTATCAAATAGATTTCAATGGGACACGTTTGAAATTTTTACTTCATAACTTTACTGAATGATTTTTATAGGGCCCCCATCTCAGGCAATACTAATTCGGTACATTATTGAATGGGCCCCCGAGGCCCCTCATTCATCTTAAATGTAATATAGTTAAATTAATGCATTTAGATATATAATTTTTCCTACACGATTTATAGGTTTTTAGAAAAGACATTTTTTAACAAGTTTCGAGAAGGATTCAACATTTTATCTAGAATGTTCTAGAAAGTTCTATATATGACTATTTCTAATTATCCTAAATGAATTAATGGATCTCAACCAAACTTAGAGCACATACACTTTATTATCCCTATTCAAATACGGAAAGGTATTGAACTCATTATAGCCATTCCTATGGGGCCGGGGGCCCCGATTTATTTTTCTTACATAAGTAATATAAATATCAATAAGCTTAGACTACACTATAGTTTCTATGTAAATTGACGGCTACAGTCCTAGCGTGGTAGCAATACCCTCATTGTCTATAATGAAATATCTGTAGATTTAAAACTAATAATATCCAATTTATTCAAGACTTATCTGGAATTTCTCGAAAATTCGATCATTAAAAAAAAGCTATATCTATGGCATTTTAAAACCGATTTGAATGGGACAAATTTTAAATATAACTCAATAATTTATCTGAGTGATTTTTATAGCAGACATAACTAAAACGTTATGTTATTAAATAGGCACCATTGGGATCCCAACGAGATGTGGATTCCCCCTGGATCAAGAGCCACAAGAAAATAGGACCCCATCGGGATCGGAATCACACCCGGAAACGGAATTGTGCCGGTATCCTGGTAAGAATGGGATTGAAGTCCCATTGGGTTCGGGGTCCAAATGCATTCCCGGGCTACGCCAGGTATATCGGTTGGTATTTATATATAGTCATATATGTATTATGACATTGTAATAAAGCAAATAAATAAGCATCGAATTCCTTACAGTAGACACATTTGGAAGGAAATTCGTCTTAGTTAAATTACAATGTTTAAAATAATATTTAAGAACTGAACGTAAATTTTCTATTCACGTTACAATTTTCAAAGGCTTTGATTAATGTCTTTTCTTTTAACACGATTTTGCGCGGTTTAGAATGATTCTTTGTATGCACAATGAACAATAGTTTTGTTATTAAATATTTGTTCTAAAATTCATTTCATTAGTATTGTAAGAAATTGTAAGCTGAGTATTTACTGTTATATTTCAACATTTAAAAAAAAAATATAATAATAATGTTTAAATTAAAAAAAAATTTTTTGCTCAAGTTAATTCCAGCCACGAAATCACGAGACAATTTTTATTATAATTGTGTAGATACAGAAATTGTTTTTTATATAACACATCTTTTTACCAAATAACGCTGGAAAATCCATGACTGCTTTGCTGATTTTAGTTGACTTCACCTGTAAGGTTCCAATAACTGTTGCATTGATATAACTTGGAAAAGCGACCAACTTGAACGAAAATTGCACAACATTTTCGTCAACTTTTCCACACTTGTATGAATTATGTTCTGAATTAACGCAAGGTACTTGTAAATTTTGGAAGAATAGCTGAAACGATATTAATATCATAATTAAAATAATTCTACATTTTTGTGTAAATGTATCATATTTAGACCAAGAGTGGGCAAACTTTGTCGACGGAGCTACACATTAAAAACGTAATTGTCATCGGTAGCTGCAAATAAATTTTGTCTGCTTCAATAACAATTTTCAACGTATGAAAATTTGAATTAATGTAAAAAACCAATTACATATATTTGCTATTTTATTTCACATTCTATCTGTTTTAAACATGCACATTACATTTTAGAATACAAAATGAAACAGTGTCTAATTTGGTAATAAAATATTACCATTCATAATTATTTCAACAAAAGAATTTGTAACCTGTCATAAAAATTATGAAGAAGGAGAAATTTAGTTTACATTCAATCTGACATAGAGTACAATTACAATTACTGAGATGAACATAAATATTCACATTAACGAATTATGAGAAATATTTAACTGGCCACAGTTTTGGATAATGTTCTTGAACTGTGGAACAAGTTTACTGGTTGTCATTCGCATAATTTCATTCAAGTTAAAGTAAGTCACCATCGACCATACAATTGTTTATTTTTATACAAGAAAAAGCTTGCACACAGATGTATGTTGACTCAAATATTGACATAAGTCAAGCAGCAAAGTTTTAAAATAATTGTGGAAATGCTGCTTCTTTCAAAGATACTTAAAACTCCAGCAGAAGAACTGACTAGAAATTCTCATTCAGGTCATTATCTGCTTGTATCTCCCCTGGGCCTTAATCAGCTTCTGCACTAAATGCGAACTCAAAATATTGAAAAGTAATTCCTAGTCCTTGAAGTCTTGGAACCTCCTTTAAATTCCACAACCAAGACACCACACTGAGCCTTTTACTTTTCTTTCATTTCAACAGAAAACGTGTTTACTTTTCAGCAAAGAGAAAATTGCAAAAGCTGTTTTTCAACTGCTTCCCTGGAGAACAGGGAGAGTTTTGCCTAAAAAAATTTTTTTAACATGCACATACATTTAATGTGCAAAGAAGCTATTGCCTTAAAGTTAGACATTCAGTTTATTCAACTTGTTCATAATGTCAATGGCAAAAATTAAGTCTGACTTCCTCTCTTTATTTACAATGTTTGTAACAAAGTCTAAATAAATAACCTTCCTCTCCATTAACATAACTATTTTTTTCCTTGAGATCGGAAAATCGCTTTAATATCTTGCCCAGGCTCAGCAAGCAGACACTGCTGTTGTTAAAATATGAGAATGTTCAGTTTACAAATCTTCAAGCAGTGCCTTAAACTGAGTGTGTTAAGTATCCTGGCTCTGATGAGGTTAATCCCACTAACAACTGGGTTGACAGTCAACGCAGCTTTACATATACTTTCCTGATGGATGACACAGTGGAGATGTAAGAGTGCATGTTCATGATTTTCTTCTTTAAATTTATTTTTTATCATCTTCACCAGACCTTCGTTTTTCCCAGGCAAAGCATGCACTCCATCGATTGTTATACTCGCCAACTTGCTCCACATCAACCCAGTTTTTTCAACACAGTTCTTAAAAGATTGAATACATCCTGAACTATGTTGTCTCTTTGAGTGACTCAAAACTAAGTAATTATTCGGTTAGCTCGTAACAAGTGTTTATTCCCCGTATAAATACCAACATTTGTGCTGTGTCCCGTACATCAGTTCTTGCGTCCAACACTTGAGAGTACCACAAACAGTAATTGCTTGCATGTCGAAGTTGATGCATCAAATTGTCACTTATCTTTTCAACACGCCCGACAACAGTTCCTCTGGATTAAGAAATGCTGACAAATTTTATTTTCTGCTCTAGACACACAATGTTTGCTGCATATGAAAATAATTCTTTGATGAACTCACCGTCAGAAAAATGCTTGTTACGCTTTACAATCTTATAGGACATCCCTAACTGGCTTCGGTTGCGGCATCTTCTATTAAAGACTGTTTAGTGAAAACAGTTTACTGTTTCTTTAAATTGTTAACCAACTCTGTCATTAACTTTTTCTCTCTTCGCTTGTTACATTGTGCCCTAAGTCAAGATCTTTTGTTTGGTGACGTCTTTTTAAATTGTACTCTGTAAAGACACTCACATATTCACGACAGAGCACGCAGACAGCTTTGCTCCTAACGTTCGTGAAGCAGTATTTAGCAATCCATTCGTGATTAAAACATGACATTCGTCCTCAATCTTTTTTTTTTTTTTTGGCAGCACTCTTGGTTAAATCAGCGTCTATTCACCAATGAATGATGAAGCAAGTCCTCACCGACAGTTATAGATAAAAGATGTATGGATGAATTTAATTTTTTTTAAATGCAATACATTTTCTTTCCTAACCCAGATACTTGACTAACGGTCTATCATTAGTTATATTATTGCCTTCGTTTAGTATCGCGACATCAAACACTTTATAATTACTGTCCACGGATATCTCACTCTTATGTCACGAATCTCATAAACAATTCGCTATCTTAATAGGTGGTCCAAGAATGCCAGCTATTAACCCTTCCCTACCAACTCATTTGTGGTTAATTTAGTACTTCCGTCGTTAACGCCAAATAAACATGCGAAGTCTGGAAAGCCTCCAGACATAATATTTTGGAAGGAAACATCCTCCCCCCCCCCCACACACACAAATATGAAAGATATAGGAATCTATTAACAGTAATTAGCCTTACCTTAAACGCCTAATAATTCCCTCCCCAAAATCACAGCGAATTTCGTCCACCTGGTAAATTTTTTGATGAACATTTCAGCTATGGTGTAAACCCTTGCCCCAGTCGTTTGTGACACATACAATTGCAACACGTACGTGCCTACAGGCCGCATAATATACTCCTGATTTAGACCATTGGCGTTTGTAAGCTAAATGATATCATTTGTTCAGGATATTATTTTTGTACATGATATATTGTATAGTCTCCCCACAATAATTTTATATTAAACACTATTTAATCTGACAATGTTTATTGGCTAATACTAAATTGTTCCTCTTCCACCCCCCCACACACCGCAAATCTCACTTTCATTTGTGTGGCTGTCAAGATTTTATTTTTCGTTATTAGGCAAATGTTTACATATTTCATTCATTAAAACAGGAAAACTCAGTATTTTTCTACAAGCTCAATACTACGAACTTTTTTAAATAGAAATTTCTAGGCAGTTTAAAGACTGGGGAGATAAAATGGGTCCATATTCAAGAGTGACAGAGATGGCGGAAAAATGATATGTGTAACAAATTGCTACCGTATGAATAGTCTTATTTTAAAATTAAATATACTCAATGTTAGATCACGTAAACTTATGAAGTCGCATATTGCTTAAGTTCACAATTTTCAATTTAATAGCTTGGACAACCTAATTTTATTTCCTGTGCGTTGGTTTATCTTATTTTTTTGGACGGACTCATTTTTTTATACCTTAATTAAAGCACCGAAATTACAGTAAACACGTAATAAAGTGTTTGCTAATTTCTTTCAGGAGAAACAAAGTTACAGACGAAAACTATTTTATTTGTTTTTTCTAAACATTTATGTACTTTAAATGTGACCAATAAAGTATTATTACTCAGAATAGATAATTGACATTGCGTATGACAATTGGTATCATTGCATTTAGTAAAGGAATTTTAAGATTAAGACTTGTGATTTTGAAAAAGAAAAAGAAATTATATGTGTGAAAATTTTATATAGATAACTCAAAAATAATAATTCTATACTTTTTTAAATTTAAATAGATAAATTTACAATTTATTGACAATTTAATTTAATAGAAATAAATGTAAATGTTTACGTAAGCAGCTGACAAGACAAGTCAAAAACAATTTTGTTTGATAAAATATTGTTACGCACTGCCCTCTATTGTGAGAAATTAATCTCCTATTTTAAATGCATGGCTCATTCAAACAGTGCCTAACCATAGAGAGATACAATAATAAAGATACGACAAGCAAAAACAGTTGCCAATTACAATTAATCAGATTTAATTTAGTAATAATACAATGAAAAACAAAAGAAAATATAATTTGCAAGTCTACCGACGCGTCAAGAAACGCTTTTACTTTTCTAATACAATCGCGAACATTTGACAAAACACCACTGAGAAAAAATTAATTATTTTTAGTTTCTGTCGGCAATAAAAACGACAGATCAAAGAACTAAGCCACGCCCATCTAAGAGCGTAGGGTCAACCAGAGTGAAAGTGTTGTAAACAAGCTCTACATAACAAAATTAAAAAAAAAAATTATTATGGTAAAATAGAAATGAGATCTAACTAACACTAACATTATCAGAGCTATTTCTTTGCCAGGAAGTAAGAATCAAAATACGTAGAAATAAATTTGTTTCCTAACATACCACATGTGTCACTAGTGACACCAAACATCATAGTATCCTTCTTACGCACTTTATAGCAATAATCGTTGACTACAAGGGATACTTTTATCTTTTATATTTCTTGTTTTATTATATATTTATTTTACTTATATTATTCTGCCGTGTTCAATAATTATTTTTGTAATCAGATGTGGTTTTTTTATGTCTATATTTTCATTAACAACTTATAGAAATAGTCATTGAATGTAAAGATACTTTCATTTCTTTGGATCAAATTTTATCTTGAATTCAAGATTATGAATCAGATTTCTGTATAGATAATCCTGTTTAAAACGAGTGATATGGATTTTTTATTTTTCAAACTCTAAAAACATGTTTCATATATATATATATATATATATATATATATATATATATATGTGTTTATATATATATATATATTATATATGTATATATATTTTTTCAATGTCTTTTTTATATATATAATCATGTTTAAAATGAGTGATATATATTTTTTATTTTTCAAAATCTAAAAACATGTTTCATATATATATATATATATATATATATATATATATATGTGTTTATATATATACATATATTATATATGTATATATATTAGTTCAATGGCTTTTTGAATTGCTTAAAAATTGAATGTTAAGTGGTTTAATGTGTCAGAAAGGAGAAAATATATTTTACTAGGGCTTAACAGGGTGAAATTTTTAAACTTGGTCTGTGTAATAAAAAATTTAATCAAATTGTGCCATAAAGGGGTTAATAAGTTCTCATTTTCTATAATTAATAGTCGAACAGAAACTCCTACATTACCACTGTCGGCATTTAAATAATATTTCTTTTGAAAATTTTACACCATACACGTTGCTCTTTATTGATTATTATAGTTGACACCTCTGAAAAAAATCACTCTTTTTACTTGGGCTTGGGGGAATGGCGTTGGGGATGATATAAAAAGCATCCCACTAACTTGACGGCTTGCCGACGCCATTTACTAATGTTCAATTTGAATAACGCGTCTGAGCACAACCGTCACACATGACGCTCGTTGTTATTTATTTTTTTATTTTTTACAAAAAAACTATTACTATAAAATGTTAATTAAGGGGTGGGCTGGGTGTGAAAAGGAAGCAGCCTCACCAACAGAAAAGTTTATATAAAATATATGGTTGAATAAATGTTTCGTGATAAAGATTAATAAAATTGTTTCTACCCTTTTAACATAGTAAATGTGAATTGAAAACTAATGTTAAATTTTCAATTGATCTAAAATAAGTTTTAAACCTTACCAATTTTGTTTCCACATTTCCTCTCTCTTGTATTTGAAACACAGCGTAGGTTACATTTTCAACATCGTTGACGTTAGTAAAATTAACGATGCTATTGATAATTAATGTATCATTTATTAACACCCCACGTGTGCACGTTGTTTTGTAATCCTCTTGCTTGGGTGAATTGAAAGTTATACTTTGTGCTAATATAACAGCTGTAGAAAAAAAATAATTGTATTTATTATTTAAAAAAAAAATTAAAATGGAAGCTTTGGACACAGCCAAAATAGATATTAAAGTATAATTTAAAGTGTTATGCAAATATATTATATGGGTGCTAATTAAGTTCAATACTCTAAGGGTCGAGATTAAATCTCTTAAGACCCTGGAAACGATTTCTACGGCGCGCCTCATCTGCTGAGCGCTACCGTAAAGGAGCTCATTTAGGCAGGCCTCCAGATTCCTACCGTCGGCCCCCATCCCACTACTCGGACACGTGACCATCAAGTGGGCTACTGTCTCCTCTTCTAGTCCACATAACCGGCACAAAGATTCCCTTCTGTTGTCGAGTCGATGGAGATAACTGCGCGTTGCGCAGTGCCCAGTTCTCATCTGAGTGATAAGGCTTTGTTCTCCACGACTAAGTTCCCACAAGGGGTCACTCTTGCTCAGACGCTGCATTTTCTGGTAAAGCTGTCGTCCAGTGGCTGCCGTGGCCCACATTCTGTGCCATTGGTCCTTGAAATGGTCTTTGATCCAAGCCATGGCTCCCAACTGAGTCATCGGTTTGTCCGTTTGAGGTAGGGCCGCGCCTTCTTTGGCTAAGAAGTCTGCCCTGTCAGGAAGCGACGCCTCCCAGTGTGAAGCGATAAACTGTAAGACTACCTTGGAGCCTTTCGCATGGATGGAGCCCACTGCCTCCAAAATGGCTGTGACCATTTTTGATCCCACTGATCCCCCCCCCATGCGTTCGAGAGCTGAACGAGAGTCAGTGAAGACCACTACGTCCGGGAAGGGTTTTCTTTTCGCTAGCCGTTGGTGGACCCTCTAAAGAGCTACCAGTATCGCCTCAATTTCCGCATCGAGGCTCGTTGCATAGCTTCCGCTTGGGCCAGATAGCTCCTCGGGTGGGGCTATCTCTGCGGGATACTGAATGAGGGCACCGTTGCCACTACGCTTTTTCCCTCGCAAGGTACGAGGCGTCCGTGAAGACTTTAACCAGGCTGTTCGGGTAGGCTTCAATCGTGTTACGTACAGCCTCTGATGGTTCTGGTTGAATACTGTTTTTGTTGGCTTTGGTGGTAATCATGTCTAGTCGAATGTCTGGTCGGGATAGGCTTTTGTGAGGTCCACGCGCGGGGATCACTTTCACTTGCCCCCTGTTTCCTGGTAAAATTACGTCTTCTTCAACACTGTGCACCCTGTCCATGAAGGATGGTCTCTTCAATCTGGACTTTTTTACCCAATTGTCTTGCAGTTGGAAACAGGGTTCTTTCCTTTCCATGCGCCAGTATCGTTCAACCGTCGTAAGGACTGCCTTTTCCCGCCTAACCTCAAGCCTAACTGCAGCCGTGGGCGTGGTTCGTATTGCCCCACATACAAACCTTAGAGCTCGGTTTTGGATGCGGTCCAGTTCCTCTAGAACCGTGCGACTCGCGAAGGTTTGGACAGGCAAACTGTAGTCCATTGCCTCCCTCACACTCCTAAGATAGAGCGATCTCAGTAGTCTTGCGTCTGCGCCTCATCTAGTACAGGCCAACTTTTTCACCAGACCCAGTTTTTGTGAAGCTTTTGCGCACAGTTCGTGTACATGGTTGTGAATTCGGAGTTTCTTGTCCAACTTCACACCCAAGTAAACTGGTGTCCTGTCCCATACCAGATCTTTTCCGTTTATGGAGAGTTTAACATCGACCTTAAGTGCCTCTCTTCCGTTCTTGAACTTAGAGTAAACCGTCTTCTCGGTGTTCACAACCATTTTCCACCGTCTCGCATAGTCTTCGATGCTATGGAGATCATTTTGAAGCCGGTTCTGCAGATGGTTGATGTCCTTACCAGAGGTCCAGATTACTAAATCATCCGCGAACATCACGTTATCGTAAACTAAGCCCTCTTGCAAGTCGTATGCGTACGCCAAGAACAGGGTGCAGCTGAGGGCGGATCCCTGGAGTAATCCGTCCTCCAGAGCAAGCTGCCTCGACAAGCTATTACCAACCCGCGTGGCTATAGTTCTGTTCTTGAGGAAGTCCGTCACCCACGCGGACATTTTGCCAGAAATCCCCAGCTTCTGGAACTTGTACATGAGGCCCGCGCGCAACACGCGGTCGTACGCTTGCTTGCTAAACTGTTCGATATGTGATACAAATTATCAAAAATAGTAGTAAAAAAAAAAAAAAACAGAAATATGATGGAACGTGGTAAAAAAAAGAAAAACAAAAATCCCCAGCTTCTGGAACTTGTACATGAGGCCCGCGCGCAAACCGCGGTCGTACGCTTGCTTGCTAAACTGTTCGATATGTGATACAAATTATCAAAAAAAGTAGTAAAAAAAAAAAAAAACAGAAATATGATGGAACGTGGTAATAAAAGGAAAAACAGGGATACAGTTTAATTACTTTAATTTGATCTCAAATAGATTGAAATGTCTAGTACTGGCTTAGTTCACAAAGATTCGCTCCTCTAAGTAGTGCTAGAGACTATTAAGCTTTGAGCGCAACTGAAGTGTTTGTGCGAGCAGTTAATGATCCGGCACCCTCGCACTTGATGGAATGACTGCCTCGACAATATGCCTAAGAGACGAAAATCTTAAACAACGGGGGTTGGAATGATTTTTTCTATGATACAAAACACGCAGGTTTGGAGGAACTTTTAAATCAATACTCATGGGATAACTACTGCTGAGTGGACATTCTACCCCCGACACTCATGAATTTTGGTAGCGACTATCTCTCGCATTTCTGACAAACGACGGGCTAACTCCAGTCGAAAAAGTAACCTACCATACCAGTAGTGGTCTAAGGGGGTAAAGATTCCAATAAAACGTGAATGTACAACTGAATGTGTGTTGCATTTGACGAAAAGGAAAAAAATTACCGCTGTGGCATATAAAGCCGTTTCATATCACTGTTTTTATTTTTCATTTTAATTTTTTTTTATGGCAAAACCATTGTAAATGCACTCGATTTAGAGGTCTTGCCCACAACTGTTTAAAACATTATCTCTGTTAAGATCGTAGAAATGAATTTAATAAGGTCGCGGCTTTCAAAGTGAATAATGTTTATAAAACACCCAGAAACCTAATCTACTTATCACTAGGGAATTAAATGTTTTATAGTAGAACCAAAATAGGAAACTATAACGCCCAGTGGCTAACTAGAGCTAAGTAAAATTAACTGTACAAGACGATAAATTGTGGCGGTTTGATTAAAACTTTTCTAATCAGGCTACAGAACAACTCATTCCAACTCTTATCCACACGGTGACATATCATTGAGTCCCCAACAAGGGTTAACAAAAATCTAATCGGATCCTACGTGCAAGCACATACTAATTGTTCTAGCCAAATCATCATCCTGCCACGTGTGGAAAACTCAATCTTGCATACGAGCTAAACTTTAGCGACACATAGATAAACTCTCTGGAGGGGAAACCACTTATATCCTTACCTGCTAAAAAGGCTTATGGGACTCGGGCGAAAAGTGCTTATAGACATATTTCGATTTATCAAACGTCTAAGAGAAAATGAAAATTGAGTCCATCGAAGTTTCACCAACGAAGATCCTTTTTACATTAAACATATAACGTAGGAAACTAGCCACTATTTAGCATCATTTTAAGCCAAAATACACAACGAAATAATTATTATATGGCGAGATAAATTTGACAAAAATTGCTGAATCCCATAAACAGCATCTTGATAAAAGATACTGTGATAGGCTTTGAAAAAGCAACAATTTTTCCTTTTCACAAAGATAGATACGAAGTGATATTTTTTTAAGATATCGGCCAAAATGTATAACAGTGTTTTCCGAGAAAATATCCGAATAATTAGCAAGCGCACGAGTAACTTTTTTCTATAACGACATAAGGATCTAAAACTCTTAAAAACTAGACGGTTTCAGCAAATGATTACAGCTTTTGAATCAAGTTATCTCATTGGTCCAAAAAAATTACCAATACAGTCTAAATGATAATTTTAAAAAATGACAATATTTATTTATTTATTTAGGCATTTTTTTATAGTGCTTACCTTACAGCTCTAAGCGTTTTACAATTTTCAAAAATATGTAAACTATTTAAACTGCTAAATTAAAATAAAAAATGAAAACAAGAAAGACTAGAACAGTAACTTCAATGTTAAAAGTGACTATAGAAACAGTAGCTAGAACATTAAAAAATGACTATAAAAACAAGAACACTTTGGCACATTTTGGCATATGCATTGAAAAAAAACTTTTTAAAAAAATCAACCCGTAACCAATATTCTGTGTCCTCCAGCAGAATATGACAAAGTGTAGAGCACGGGCCTCATATACACGTTGGAGAGTTAATGTGTCTCTGCAAACTCGTACACTTAGATCCATTTATTATTCTTATCGAGTTAGGTGATCCAAACAAAAGTACTTAAAATAGTATAAACATTGGATGCACTCGAGGATGGCAAAGCCTTTGCACAAATTTGCAAGTAGAGCTATTCCCGAAATGAAACTACCTCTTAGTTTCGGATAACAATTGTTTCATAAGTGCCAACTCTGTAATCTGGCCGCTGTGGCAGTGTAACATCTAATCGTGGGTTGCCCGTAATTGGTAATTGGGACTGGAAACGCGTTGGAAACCCGGGTAACGGTCTTACTCTTTGAATATAAGGCTTTCCATGAGTGATGAGGCTCGCCTATGACTATTAAGCCACTGGCAATGTTGTATGCTCAACATTACGAGAGAATTAATCATATGTAGTTCTGACAATCATAATTCGTAACTGTAAAATTAAGCTAAACATTAAGTTTAACAAAAATAATATAAATATTAATTTTTAAATTTATACTTATAAATTAATGTTGGAATTAGTTGAAAAAATACGTTTTAGATTATTGTAAGTGCACGATTCTTTTGGTGATTAATCTTTCCGAAATTTGGAGCTGAGCTCGAAGGAGGAGCTAGTAATTCATTTCCAGGGACTTTTTCATTGTAACATGACCTTATATAAATTTACTAAATGTTAATAATACATTACGTATTTTATTTTATTTTTAATATTTTAGATATATCAACTCAAAAAAATAAAATAAATGCATGTTAAAAAACGACAATTTAAAATGAACAGCTTTGGTGTACAATAAACAAAGCATGGAGCAACTCAAAAAAAAACAATTGGTCCCGGTAATACGGAGGAAAGTATTGAATATTAAGTTTTTGTTTTTTTCAACATAAATAGATTGAATTTTGTTTTCTAGAAAATACCCTAAGAATTATTGGATAAAAGAAATGTCAATTACTGTCTTGAATTAATTATTTCATTTCTTTTTATTTCAGATTTTTATTTTGAAATTCCTGTACTAAAGTGAATTGTAAGAAACGAAATTAAATGTATTCATATTAAATTTTAAATGCCAATGTTGTTCCGTGTATAAACAACAATTCATTCTTTTTAATAGATATATAATAACGTTTATATTCACTATATTTAATACTTAAATAAGAAACATTTTTTAATGTTTATTACTGATATAAATAAATTATGTAAGTACTTTATCAACAAAAATATAAATGGTCATTTAGTTAATTCTTGTTAAATGTATATACTTAAAATACAATTTACTAAAGTATTTGAAAAAATAATTTGCTCGGGTATTAATCGGAACAAATTAAAATGTAAAGCCTTGAAAATTAAAACGTACCGATTAAATTTGCCAGCAACACAGTAGAAGAGCAACACATAGCATATGTCCCTATCTGTTCATCAATGAATACACATCTGTTTGAAAACAATCATGTTCAATAAAAAGTTGGTGATACTGAAATTTAAATATATATATATAATATATATATGTATTTAAATATATATATATATATATATATATATATATATATATGCAAAAGATATAATTTTATATTCATCAATGAATACACATCTGTTTGAAAACAATCATGTTCAATAAAAAGTTGGTGATACTGAAATTTATATATATATATATAATATATATATGTATTTAAATATATATATATATATATATATATATATATGCAAACGATATAATTTTATGAAAGCTTATTAAGCGTTCTTTGAATACGTAAGTATACGTGCATGTATTTATTTCCCGTGGATATTCCAAAAATAAGAAACCTAACGATAGATCGCAAACAAATTTTACAGCCTTCCCCCCTGTCGGTGAAAATTTGTTAAAAATAATATTATTCAAAAAAATATTAATTTTAAAATTGTAAAATTTAATGAATAATAATGTAGTTAAATAATATGTTTTAAAATATCCTGGCTTTGCTCCTCTGTAAAATCAGGGACATTCAAGATTGTTTTATTTTTATTTTGCGCAGTTTAATCATTCAGTATACGTAATACTGAATGGCATGCCCGAGTCCATGAGTACTCTGCATGTTGGGAAATGTCAGATGTTGCTCTAAGAACCATAACACAAGTCTTGTCCAGAATACCCTGACATTGTCATATAGGCAACGCTGACAAGCTACCTCTGGTCTTGTAATGTCCTGTTGAGTACCTTCAGCTCCTGTGTAATTTCAACAAGAAAAGCCAAGTACATAAGCCATTTGGGATCACTTAGTACAGCAACAGCTGCTTTATCCTTCTCCATGAAGGCTTTAAATTCCAAAACGTGTTCAAAAAGTAGGCAGGAGCAAGCAATATTTATGAATTATTATTAATGAGAATGAAGATGCTATTGTAGGGAGAACGAATTTTGATATTTTTATCGTAGTAAAGGCCATTTTGACTAACCCTATTTAAGTGACCAAGCTGACAGGTTCGGAATTTCCCACAAATGTGCATAATAGCTACAATAATAATAGGGATTATTTGATACTGAGTCAGATTGCTACGATTTAAACAATTATGGTTGTGCATTACACACAAACTGACTTTTTAAAATTTTTCTCAAAACGGCACGTTGGTCATGTTTGTCTCATAAAGTTAAAATAAAACTTCAATAGGTGCGATTTTAAAATTGTTTTTAACCATTATTTCCAACGTTAAAACCTATACCAACTTAATAAAATCAGAATTAGGTGAGATTCGATTAAAACATTCTCGAAGGGTCACGTTGTAGATTTCAGAATGTGGAAAACGAGCGGGCAGCATTAACACTAAACTTTGCTGTCTTGTAGCGGGCCGCAAAATATCGTTTTTCGGGTCGCAAATTGCCCGCGGGCCGCTAGTTTGAGACTCCTGTTATAAAGTAGGATGATAGTAAATTAAAATCAAGATATTGTTAAAAATGAATCACCAAAGAACGAATCAAATTTGCAATTGTCTTTTCCAAAAAGCCCTGATTTATGACAATTATTGTATTTTGAATTTTCATTTTAGCCCTTTTCAGTTAATGTACAAGCTTGGCCAAGTAAAATACTTGATTTATCTAAAATATCTTTTTTTTAAATATTTTTTTATAAAAAAATTATTCACTAATGCCAAAGAAAAGATAGGATTTTCTTTTTAGTTTGCCAATATCGTGTTACAAAAGAAAATGAAATATTAAAGAACGCACAAAAACCTCCTTTTGACACATGTGTAACAGCGCATGTTTGTGAATAAAGGCTTATCTCAAATGCATTTAATTCAACAAAAATAGCTTAAATTGAACCGTCCCAATTTTAAAAAAAGCGACATTTTATGTTATTTGAAAATTCAAGGGAACAACATCATGTGGATGGTACCGGTTAGCACCAGTTGTATCACAGAAGTTGTCGGAATGTTTCATTGTACCAATTTTATCCGCGCTGGTTGTGTTTTTGCTTGACTGGACTTTGGTGGGGATTGAACTCCACGCCATCAAATTGAGATTAGCTCAGTTTAAAACCCTCGGTCACCCATCACGCAAATGAATACATACAAACATACACACATAGTTACACAAAACTTTGAACATTGTGTTATAGAGAGCTTGTTTACATCATATTTCTCGTGCGTGCCCTCTGATTGACCCCGCATGAGACGCTGTGTTCACAAAGGGGTGTGGCTTAGGCCTTTGAAGTATCTTGTTTACAATCGGCTTCCAATTACGCATTGGGTATAATGACTCCGGGTACCTTCTGGAATGTACTCTTTAGCTCGAGATATGTAAACAACACGTCCTAAGCCCTTCTGGAAGCGTCTTACTCTACATGTATATAAAAGATTGACAGATACAGAGGAGGAGGGAGATTTTTCAGATAGATTTTCTTAACATTACGAGGCGTGTTTTATTCTTTGTGTACTTGTGTGCTCCTACTTATATGTGTTTATTTCGCATTATTTATTGGCATCATTATTTCTAATTGTATTAACTGTGTACCGGTACGAGATCTACAATACTGTAAGTTGAAGATTGTAATTTAATTTAATTTTGTAATTATCTTAAGACATAATAAATCTTAATTAATTGTAACTAGAAACTGTTTGGGTCGTATCTTTAATATTGTTGATTCCATGGTATCGTCCTTTGTTAGGCACTGCTTACAACGAGCCAATTAAAATTAAAATAGGAGATTAATTTCTCCCAATACAAGTCAGTGCGTAACAATTGAAATAGATTATTTTACTTAGATTCACACATTCATAGCTATTTTCTTACTTTCTTACAGGGTTTATTTGAATGAAAATATAATGTGTTAAATAAATTTTGTTTACCTCACATACCCAATGAATCTGTTCTGACAGGTTTTCTTAGGATTTCGACCCCAAGTAAAGTTGATTTAAACCCGTTGAGAATTATCAAGTGATGTAACAAGATAATTTGATATTCATTGAGAATGGCTTAGAATACTGTCATTTCAATCAGTATTTTCCATAACAAGCCTTCTTTAAAGAATGCATCTCAGAAAGATTCACAAACATATTTGATAAAAATTTAAATATACTTTACATTGATCACTTTAAATTTTGAACCGATTAAAAAAAAAAATAGTCCTCGACATCTTTTGTATAAACTGTGAAATGTAAAAACTCGGATATGATTAACCTGAAAGCTTACTCCTTTATATTTCCCCCTAACACAAACACGTTTCTGTCAAGGGAAATATTTTTAGAACCATCCTTAAACGGGTTTGCAAGAAAAACATTTATAACGAATTTTTAAATATGTATTTCGGACATATTTTAAAGAATGGTGTTATTATTGCCTTAAGGGTCTCATGGACGTGTTGCTGTTTATTATTTCGTTTTGAGCTGAAGAGAATTGTTTTAGTTTTAAAGTTGGCCACTGAGATGCATAATGTGTTCATAATTAAATTAAATTTGAAATCTACAATGGCCTAAAATTGTTATGTGTTTAACAAATAATGTCTTTGATTCATTGATACCTTCGTAAAATATACTTAAACAGAGCTTGACTAAATGCTGTTTGGAAACATGACACAAAGTTATGATTCTCTATTCCATCAATAAATTTTCTATTAAAGTTAGTAACAAAAAGTAATCAAAGAACTGCCATGACTGTAAACCCAAATGTACCACAGAGCATCCCTTACGCACAAACGAGAGCTATGGGATTGTTGAATGTAATAACTATTGAAATAATATAGAATAAAACTTTATTGTAAATGCTTGCAACAAACAAAAGCACATTAAAAACCTTCCTTTAGTAGATGTTTGAAAGCGCAAACATTACCATTTAAGTTCTTCACCCCCCCCCCCTAGTGCATCCAAGAACAAACTCACACTTGCTGAGATGTTGACATACGCAAAGTTTAATATCATAAATAATAACGTATGTTCCCACTTTTCACTGATATAAGATAAATGAAAGTTTTCTTTCATATCCTTACATTTGACAGATTTAAATTGATCACTTTAAATGAAAATTATTAGTTATATTATTTCTACTTATTTTAAAGCAGTGAAATGTTTTGTTAAAGGATGACTAAATGTAAGTTAAACGATTTCTTAAAAATATATTTTTTTTTTTTTGTTGTAAATTTGTATTTGATAATCATTTAAATAACATGTGTCCTGTATTTATCTTAATGCTAAAATAACTTTCAAATAATCTCAGTAATTCATGATAACTATTAACACGTTTATTATATACTAGAATAAATGACCCGATGTTATCGGGATAATAATGGTAGGTCCTTTGCGATAGTTTCTACCTAGTATTGCAAAATCTCATCACAATTCCTACCTTTAAAAAAGTATCTATATGATGATATTTACGTTTCTAACATCATTAATGTACCCAATAAGGTTAATTATTCATCAAATTAATTTCTTTCTTTTGAAACGTATCTTGTGCAGCCTTGAGAAAAATGAACATATAAATATTTGTAAAAAGTGAAAGTGGCTTACCATTTTCCACAAATGTAATACCATAGGATTTAAATATATTGTCATCCTCGTAAAAATGTACACATCCTATATCCTACCGCCGATATGTGTATACCAAAGAAGGTTAATTATTTATCAAATTCATTCCTTTATTTTGAGACGTATCTTGTGCTGCCTGGGGCAAAGTGAACAACCCCTCCTCGCCCAGATTTAAATAAATTTAGAAAATCTTTCACCGGATTGTTGTCCTTTCCATACCCATTCTAACATATTTTGCATTTCATATGGTTCGTTCTTATTTGTATGAGTTATAAAGTGGATTAGTGAATGCTATTTGGCTATGGAAGTGCGCTGCACTGATTAGCTGAAACTGCATTTTCTTATTAGAATTAAATTTCAAAGGTTAGAATTTATTACGTTATAATTTTAATAAAAGTAAATTTTTGGAATAAAAAAGGCGAAACTTTTAAAATGTTAAAATTTTCAAAGCTTAAATGTGTGTGTGTTTTATTAACAAATTCAAAAAGCAATCAATTGTATTTATTAAGTTTATTTTTAAAGTAGAAAATAAATGATCAGCTTTGTCAAGCACGGTTATTAAATTTAAAGAAACCTAAGAGTTTTGGCAAAATAAGCTATTCGCGCTATGACGTCATTGGCGTGATTATTGAGAATAAATTTATTTGAATTTTATTTCGCAATATTAACAACAAACTAAAAGACGCACTAAAAACTTCTGATGTCTGGGTTTTCACAATAAATGTGATTACGGTGTAATTCTTTAAGCATGATATTCTTTATTATTATATTTTTTCATAACTTTCAAACACATATAAAATGCTGAAAATATTTCCTTAGTTGATACTTTAAATTTATTTGTAATTTTTAATAATAATATATAAACTTTTACTAAAATAAAAGCGGGTTAAAATATTTTTTTGCACATTGAATTTATTCGATTTGCGTAAAATAATAGAAAATAACTATGATTGTTTTTAGGAATCCAAACGTAATTAAAAAGTTTTCCCTTTTGGCGTTATGTGAACCTAGCTCATTCTGATATATATTTAATATAATAATATATGCACATTAAATTGTGTAAACTATGCTAAAATGATAAAAATGCTTAAAATAAATATATTTTCAAATATCTAACAACGCACTGCAAAACAGCCAAGAAATACCTTAAAAATGACCTTTGCCTTTAAGCTTTTGGAATTGTATCATTGACTCACGTAGTCTGTATCACCTAATAATTTTGAATAAATAAATAAAATATATATAGTTTATATATATATATATATATGGTTTATATATATATATTTATATATATATATATATATATATATTAATAAATAATTGTGTTCTTAATTAAATTGAAATAACTCTTTGTATACCTCAAAACTAATGAAAGTATAATATTGGGAAACTCCGATAACTAAACTTCCGGTTTTAGTATTTCTAAAGGAATTTCAACGGAATATCCCATAATCACAATTTTGAATCGATCTTTTTTTAAAAATCTAAATAGATTGAATTTGTTTTCTAGAAAATCCACTTAAAATTAGAGGATAAAATGAATTTCTACAACTGTATTGCCCATTTTCCATTTTCTTTTAAATTTCAGATTTTTATTTTGAACTCCTTATGTACTATAATGAATTTATTTTTCTATACATTATTTCAAAACACAACCTTTAGCGCATAGTTGATTATGAACTGAGCCAAAGAAATTGGCTTAATTTGTCAGTTGAAATGGAACATCGTCTGATTTGAAGAAACAGACCTTACAAATGACACAGTCGAACCACTGCGGCGATTAATTACAAACAGTGCTTCTTTCAGACAGTTAACTCGGAGAAGGTGAGAATTTCAGATTTTGGGGGGGGGGGGGGGGGGGGTTGGTGCTAGTAGAAAGTTCCGAAGCTAAGGTGGGCACATGGGGCATTAGAGGATAAATGAATGTCCACGACTTTATTGCCTATTTTCCATTTCCTTTTCAATTTCATATTTTTATTTTGAACTCCTTAAGTACTAGAATGATATTATCTGTCTATACATTATTTTTACACACAACCTTTAGCGCATAGTTAATTATGAACTGAGCCAAAGAATTTGGCTAAGTTGTCAGTTGAAATGGAACATCTTCTTATTGGAAGAAACAGTCCTCACAAATGACACAGTCGAACCACTGCGGCGATGAATTACAAACAGTGTTTCTTTCAGACAGTCTCATCGAGGGAAGGTGGGAATTTCCGATTTTAGGGTCAGGTGGTGCTAGTAAAAATGTGGCGAAGCTAAGGTGAACATATGGGGCATATGTCCCCTGGTGCGTGTCTAGCGAAGGCACCAAATGGGCTTTAATTGTATTAATAGATGAAAATAATTGGTTTCAGAGATTAATGGAGGGAGTAAAAAGGAATCGTGTTCCCTGGCACCAAACACACACATCAGTGACGTAGAAATGTAAGGGAGGCGTATAGTTGGTCTGCTCAGATTTCAGTTTAAAAAATTATATTGAGCGGTGGCCTTGTGGGAAAACTGTGGAGTAGCGTGAAAAAAAGTTCAACCTCCTAAGGTTACGCTAACACTAGGCACGCCGTTTTACAGTGTATATATCGGCACCAAAAATGGTTGTCCCTTCCAATAATATGGCCATTTTTATCGGGAAGTATTGCAGACATCGACCATCCCGGTGGCTTTTCCTAAAGCAGAAATTGTGTGATTATTTAAAGATCATAGGTGCATTATTGAGTAATGATGATTTGAATATTTTGATAAGACTATTTGATCATTAAAAAGAATTTTCAGGTGTCGGAGTAGTCATTATGTTCCATACCAGTTCCATTCATAAATCAAATTCATTCTGCTTGTGGTGAGCCCAAGATAATCTATCGACACATGATTAGATTATATAAGTTTAAGTCATAATGATCGACGTCAAGAAAGTGGGAAACAGAAATTAAGGAATCCGAAAAGTCTTGACCAAAAGCGTGGTAGAGGTTCCATTAAATTTTTAAAAATTCAAATGCAATGATTTATTACGGTGCATATCTAAAATCAGTTTTTCGTTCAGTCAATGTGTAAAAGGGTGTCTTAGAATATCATATGTTTACTATTAGATGTTTCCTGCAGAAATGGTAGGAATACAACATCAACATTCACTAACTATATGTGGACTAGAAAACATCATATGTTAGATGAGACAGGAAATATATGTACAATGCTCTACGGGAACCTTGAGCACCTAAAAAATTTACACGGATCGTACATATCAACTATGACGATGGTCAAACAAGGAGATTCAACACTCCGTTACAAAAAGGCATTAGAAACATACAGTGAAATTATTACAAACTACTTCCAAAGAGTTAGTACAGAACAACAGCTTGAGGGAAAAGGCACAAATGTGTATAGTGTTGTCGTCTCAACTGTTCCTTTTGAAAGCTCATTCCAGTCCCTGATTGTCTTGGACATGTATTAGCAGTTCCTATGCTGGCTTCTTGCTGGTATGAGCCAGAATTGCCTGTCATGGCCTAGTGGCTGTAGAGGGACGAGTTTCTGTTTAATGCTGGAACAGCCCATTATTTATGTACATCATGGAGAGCCAGCAAGCTGTCAACACTAGAGGTATTCTTACAGCGGTTCAGAACAAGGCATGCCGCCATTCGCTGGACCGCCTCCAAACTTTTAATGCTCTTCTAGGTAAATGGGTCCCACACTGAATATGCATAATCTAAAACCGAACAGACAAAGGCTTTATATGCTCTTTCTTTCACACAGGAGTCACCATGCGCTTACAACAATGAATTAAGACTGGTGTAGCACAAATACAATGATTGGCTCTCAGTTTGCATGTTGCAAAAGTAATCAAGAGGAAATAAATAAAGTCTGTAGAAGACTACAGCTGCGGTAGGCCAGAGAAAACAAAATCACAGAGAACAATCAAAAAGCCAAATTATGGGTTGAGAATGGTATTGAAAAAGTTAAAAGAGTTTGCTTAGATGGTTTACAGTCAAAAATAAAAGAGCAAAAAGAAATGGAAAATTGAAAGAACTCTCTGATATAACAACAACAACAGAGGAAAAAAAAAACTTTAATAAGATACCAGCAGCCAGAGAGAACTATTAAAGACAAGTAAGTTCGATTTTTTTTTTAAATTAGCAAGAAGGATAGTTGAAATACTTTGAAGGAATTATCATTCAAACCTTATCCCAGATATGCAACAGATATATAACCAATAAATTAAGATGTACACATAATAAAAATAATAATAATAATAAAGTTCATTTCAAAAACACGCTTCATCCCCAAAGGCTCGAAGCGCGGTACAAAGTCAACAAAAAAACATATCTATAATTTACCACATTTAAAACAAACGCAACACTACAAAAACTAATTACAAGCATACAATGGAAAAGTCTTTCTAGCCATTTCAACCATAAGCAACACAGCCATTATGCATTAACTGGAAAATAAGGTAGACAATCATCCCAGAAGATTTTTGCGAAATAGATGTGTCTTCAGATCGGTTTTAAAGGACTCCAGTGTCTGGTTGTTTCTGAGATCGACAGGAAGATGACAATGCACCAACTAAAAAGCATAGCTTATGCTAACAAGTTGATTGAATTGGCAAGGCATTTGGATTAGATAATATAATAACATAAATGGTGAAAGCGTAAAGAGAGCATATATCGATAAAAGAGTAATCTTTTGAAGCAATTATTTGAAATTTTAAGGGAATAAGGAATAATTGAGAGCTCCAAAAGATTAAAAAGAAGGAATGCTATTCAAGTTTCCAAAGAACGGAGATCTAAGCAACTATGCTATTTACCGAGGAATTTTACTGATGTGAGTAAATGAAATGTTTGCAGCAGAATTATTATAAATATATACTGAAAAACAAGGTCGACACGCAGCTACGAGATTACTGACTGGCTTCTGCAGAAATAGACAACGAACGGCTAAAAGTGCAAAAGAAAATGTATTATTGTAGAACAGTGCATAAATGGATCTCCCCTTATATCTAAATTTTATCAACAACCTTTGATGGCCAAGACCAGGGGTCACCAAACTATGACCGGCCCACCAAATCAAGCACGCCACGGTGACTGAACTTGAACTTTCTTGATAAAACGTAAGGAACACGGGGCGTTGTGATTAAATTTAAATTTAAATTGTATGTTTAAAATATTAGGAGATCTTCACAAGTGCGCCATTGCGTTTGTTGCGTATCATTTTCTTTTCGGACATCAAATCGTCACAATTTGAGTATTGTGTTAAAAATTTTCGGTTTAAAAGTGGTTTGGGCATGAGAAAATTAATATAGTTCAAGGGCGTGAAATAAAAAGTGTGCAGTGACGTATCATGGGGGAAGAGGTGTAGCAAATATTGGGATTCTTAAATGTGCGTTACTTGAGTTTATGTCTTGTTAAGTAACTTCTCTAGATGGGAAGTTCAAGCATTGCTGTCGCCAAAGTACGGCGGGCTATATATAGTATATTATATTTTGATAGCTACAACAACTGTAAATTGGTGAAGGAAAAATGGGTGTTCGAAACATACGGAGCTAGTTCCGCGGTTGGAACTAGAAGCCCTTCGGCAAGTTCGAAAGAACAAAAGAAATTGGTGAGAAAGGAATGCTTCAGATACGTAAGAAGGCTAAGAACGTGCTGTGGTATTCTTTGGCTTTGGATGAGTCTACTGATCTCTCACAACATTTCGTGTTTATTTGAGGTGTCCATTTGGACCTTCAGATAACGGAAGAGTTGGCATTACAGGTATACAGTGTAAATAATGGGAGCATCAAAATGGCTTTGCTAATGACATTGCATTTATGTCATACATCCAACAGCAATGCAGGAAAAGGCAAGAGATATAGCTATTATTTTATCACAATGGTGACTCAACTTAAATAGAAGCAACACAAAATGATGACTCAAATAACCACAACAAAGCTCTTTGGCAAGGAAAGATGGAAGCTTTCACCGAATTGGGGAGCACAATGGACATGGATGCGAGAACAGAAACTGGTGTCAGGACTAGGTAGGTAAGTGCTTGTGCTTTTAAAATTGATTCTGCTAACTTTAGTCGAATTTCAACACTAAATGTAAGGCACTTTTAACCTTATGAAGCCGAAACATGGAGAATAACAGTCAGCATTACGCATAAATTTCACTCTTTCCCATTCACATTTGTTAGAAATATCCTGAACATAAAATTGTAAAATTTCATCACTATCACAGAACTACTAGAAAGAAGATTACAATGGCATAGTTCTTTGCTTGTAGCCACGAGAGACCTGCCTTTCAAGAAATGGGATCCAAACTCTAGACAACGTACTATCCACATCCACATAAATCATTTTTGGTGTTTAGTACTCTCAGCCGAAACGTCTATTTGTCTTGTTTTGTGACCTTTTACATTTCCGTGC